ATTTATACTTCTCGACTATGTTTTTTGTCCCAAAAACGATGTTTTTTGATACATTCAAATAAAAAAGATATTCTGTGGATATCTCTGGGATTTGGTGTAATTGTCTGGGTAGTGTGTCAGTAATTCAAATTAGTTTTATCAGAATGTCATAAATATGTATACAATTACTTTGACTTTCATGCCACTTTATTTGCAGGCGATCGTACAGGGAACAATAAGACAAAAATAAATTAATTTACATTTACTTGAGTATAATTTAATGTTTATTTTTTAAGGAAAAGTTTTTTCTACGATCACTATCCAAAGTAGGCTTTTGCGCTTCGAAATACAACCGCAAATTTGACGTTTTCCGCGAACTGATATTAAGTGACATCTTTGTCGCTCGCCGAGCGGAAAACTTAACAGATTTGTTGCTCTCCTAATTTAAATTAGATATAATATAATAATATTACTTTTTGATTAATGATTTTCAAGTTATTTGTACGTAGTTTGATGTTTTATTGTTTTATTATCCAAGTTAACATTGACTTTGAATATCAACTCGGTTTTTCATGATTAACTTAGATATAGGCAACACATTATACACAATACGGCAAATTTTTAGTTATTTATCCATTTCTTAAAACAATGTGATCGTAGGAAAAAATATTGTTTGCATTTTAAGCGAAACGTTAGTTGCCGCTTTCAAAAGATTGCCGCGCTCCGCTACGCGTCGCGCGGCCAACTTACTGTCTCAAGCGGCAAAGTACCACTTTTCGCCTCAATACCCATATCTTTCTGAATTTGTTGTAGAGCCGATATACGCATTTTTTGTATATTCCATAAGCATTCATGCTCTCGGTATAGTTCAACAAGCTAAAAAGTAACCATTTCACTAAATTTACGAGCCATTTTATGAAAACACAAAAATAAACAATACGCCAATCATCAGTCTTCGTAGGTTATGACAGCGACACATCCAGAGACAGCGACTGTCGCAAAGGTGTTCAAACGTTGCCTGCAATACTGGCGCGGGTGTTGTTATGGGGTAAGAGGCTGCAGTTAACTGGCAAGAAAAATAGACGCGAACTCTATTCGTTCCAGCGCTGTCAGCCAGCGCTGCATTAACACGAAAAAATATTCACATGTTGCCAGTAATATGCCAGTGCTGGCAGGACAGTGAGACTGGTGCCAGTTACTGGATGCATCTAAATGCGGCTTTAATTGTTATAGTTTTTTGTCATAAGTATATATGTACCATCTGTTAAATCATAAATAATTAATCTGAAAGTTAATTAATAAGTATGACTGTGGCCCGATTATTGAGCCATTATTTCTTCAGACTAAAATGTTTGTTCGGATTGAACTGATTGTTAAGATGTTTTCTGCTTCTAATTCAAAATAAAGCATTTAATGACGCTATTTTTTCATTTTAGTACCTACACGACATTTTTTTTTTGTTATATCAGGAAAAGGGACGTATTTAGAAATTCAAAATTTAATGAATATCTAATTGTATAATCTTTATTTTAGGGTTTTCTTACACAGCCATGCAATGACAGCTAAACAAACTTGATTCAACATTATTAGTGTATAGCACAAGTAGAAGTTGGAAAGGATTTTGGTAGGTAGAGAGGGGATAAATGTCAAACCACGTCGGATGGCTTCGAGAATTTCGCAGTAATGTTTACCTGCCAGTGTCGTTTCATAGAACAAGTAATTTTAAATTGTTACCGGCGGAACCGGACAATCGCATGTATTTATGGACTATAAATAATTATTAAACATGTACTATATTATTCAAATCATAATTTTACAAAATTTCAACAGCTATTCACAATTTATTAAACTATTTACTCGAAATTGTTATTAACATCTATAAAATAATTTTGTACACCAATGTATCGCGTCCCTTCCATTACAGTTTTGCTTGGATACTTTGACCTTTGACAATTGGTTCCGGTCATTCAATTGGCGAATTTTACATTAAGTGCCCGAACTGACAATTGGATCCCGTCATCCCATTAGCGATTTTCAATTTAAGGGTCGGAATAATTCTTTCTGACCAATTGTGTTCCAGATCCATTGAGGACCGATTCCACCGTTGTGTAATGACATTTTTACATTAACAATGTCTTTTTAATCTCCGTTTAACACAACGGTGTAATCTATCCTTAAGAAAGATAGAAAACCATAGACAAGATGTGGCCAAACAGTGTTGTCTCTTTAGGTAGTAGAGGGTGCGTACGCTTTGTTTGGATTTTGCTGTGCGTCTTTGTGGAAATTTTGTAGTAGATATTTATTTTTTTGTGCAGTATGTTGTAAAATATTCAGAAAAGTGGTTGTTAAATGTGTTGTTTGTGGTAGAAAGTACTTTAATGGCAGTTCTGTAACTTTTCACAAGTAGGTAAGTAGTGCTTAAATATCGTTAGATTTTTTATAAAACTGGTTCGTTTTTGCAGTTTATACCATATATTAATATGGTTTATAGTGTGTATGTATCCTTTTTAAATCTTAATTTATTATTATGTTTAGAGTTTCTGGAAATCCTAAAATAAAAAACCTTTGGGTACAGGTCCTAAGAATATTACCAGAGATTGGGGTTAATAGTAGAATTTTTTCTACACATTTTAGAAAAACTGAATTTATTTTTTCTCCTGATGGTAGAGTATTTTCGAAAAAGGGAACTAAACCTACTTCTAGTGACAGAAAGGAGAATGATAATAATAATTTATTAGATCCTTAACCTGGCCTATCTTCAGAAAAAAGGTACTTAATTATTTATTTACGTAGCACTTACAGAAAATAATAGTAGAATATCTAACCTAACACAAACAACTGAAGTGCGTCAAAAAATATATAAAATATTAAAAAAAGGAAAAACACTACAACACACAATATTACTTAGACGCCCAGGAGTTGCAAGTCTTTTTTAGCGCTAAAATATTAAAATTAAACGCACTTTGTCCGCCATTGGTTATGTGTCTTTTTATATTCAAAAGTGATGTGTGCTGAGTCCGTCGGACAGGAACCAATAGTTGAACTCTTTCAAGTAGTGTTCCGTACTTGATAGAACGACCTATTAATTTAGACAGGACTAGGAGTAAAGCCCTGCGTTTTTCTACATTTTCTTTCTTCTGCATTCCAGGCTCTACATGTCACAATGCAATAATCTTGTTTAATAACATGAGTTTAAAGAACATATATCTTACGAATTTATGTTGCGCCCTTCTAATTTTATTGCTATAACAGTTGTAAGTAGATTGCAAAATAGAACAGTATTCCAGGCCATTGTAAAATATCATAATTGCTTTTGTATTATTTACGTACCTAGTATGTCTCTTGATAAAACCAAGCCTTCTGAGGGCTTTGCATACTATGAAATCTATGTGGTAATTAAAAGATACTGTGGTATCAAAAATAATGCCTAGATCAATAACTATCAAGGAACTATCTACCCAGATAGATGCTGTTAATACTGTAACAGTATTATGGTGTCATGTAAAATGCATTGTTGTGCACATACAAACATTTATAGAAAGAGCAATATTTTTACACTAGGTAAGAAACTTATTTAGGTCAGACTATGGCGGAGTTATTGCCATTGTTTCTACTAAAAAACTTTAAATCATCTGCGAGATTTTTGTTGTAAATTTAATAAATTTGCTTAAATTTGGGATACTTACACACACTCAAAGATAATTTCATAATTGTCGGCCATTAATAAAAAAATCTTTGCACCATATAATACCTCACGTCACGAATTGATCTGTTAAATATCTTCGTTTTATAGTAGTACATAAAATAGAAGTATATTTTCGATTCATTTATAGTATATATCGTGTATATTGTAGACAAATTTGTACTATATTTAAATAAAGACTTCAAAAGGTTATTTTTGTTTATTTTAAACCAACAAATATAAGCCTATACATTTTATAATAATGAAAATACCCAAATTATAAAATAATAAATCTCAATAATATTCCTATCATAGTAAAATAAATTTGTAATACGCCTATGTGATGTAAACAACCTCCCTCTCACCTCGCCTATCCTTTGGTTTGTTAGTGTTCCGACTATGTTCCGACAAAACAAACCCTGTGCTAAAAGATCGTAGTTACTTATCAAGATAGTTTACTTATTCATCTGAGGGTTAGATGAGCTGGAAACCTGTCAATTTATGTCGCAGTGTTGCCGTTGCTATTACAATTGTAACAAATCTATTACTAAAAAGTTACACCAATACGTTATTACGACTTTTAAGAAAAGAGGAAAAATCTATTACTTTTTAAAATATCGAAATTTTATGAGTGGCTCCGTCTAAACTTCAGAGCTCATACTTAAAAAAATTAAGAAATCCATACATTTGTTATTTCTGTGTTTTCTTATTTCAACAAATCCAAGATAGGCGTCGCTTTATTATATTGTATTATTTTTTTTGTTATGGGTTAGTTTTTAGTTTAGTAGGGGATTACCACCAGCCTCCCGCATTTCAGCATAATTTATATGTTGTTTTTAATAACGTGGAATTTTGGGCTAACATCTTTAAAATAAAAAATTCACTGGATGAACCAAATATTTAAAATTTAAAAAAAATAATTTGTGGTTTATTTTCATTACCCCATTCTTTTGTAGCAGCAGAAATAATTTTCTCTCAACTAAATAATATTTAAGTTTTATTGTTAAATGTATTTAATAATAATTATGATACATTTATGTTACTTTAAATATTTTGGTTCAAAATTCTATTACGAAAAAAATAATTGGTGTGGCAATACTGTTTATGTGTATAAAGTGGGAGAACTGGCAAAAGCCTTTCCAATTTTCCAATTTCTACTTGTATTCTATTTGGCACAATGTTAATATTTCTGCTAAATAATAATTTATTTTAGATTTTAATCCAATTTTTAGGTACTATTTATTTAATGGTGCTATCTATTTATTCTCCAGACTAATTTATCTAATAAATAAAATTTTACAATATGACAACATTAAACATCTTATTCTCTTTAACTAACCTCTTTGATAAAAATCCTTAGCTGTAACCTTTCCAATGCCAGTATTCGCCCCAGTGATCACAGCCGTTTTACCCACCAATCTAGCACCGGAATTTGTTGTTTTAGTTGTTACTGACCATACAACACCCATCGCATAACGTAGGTAGGAAAAACTTTGGTCGTTAACCCACTAACACAGTCACGGTAGTTACATTGAATAAATAATAAACGATAAAACGGAATCTTTTATTTCAGGCACGATTTATTGTTTTTGGTGCAGAGAGTATCTAAATAAGTACATCGTTCGCCGAAGAAAGCTAAAATTCGACTGAAGAAAGAAATTGAGGAACTTGCTTTTATGTTTGGCCTCATTTCTTAATAGAACTGAATTATGTACATTAGTAATTTATTTTAAAAATGAGACACTTAAAAACGTGATTTTTTTTTAATTTCATTTCTTCTATTTCCTATTTTTCAAGTTCTATGCAGATGGACTTAAAGCTTGTATAAGATTCTTTGGAAGCACTAACAGAGCTAGGTAGTCAAAACAGGCTAACCTCTTTTGTCGATTCTGTCAGGAAGATGAGAACATTTGAGTACACGTATTGTTTCTCCAGGACAGAGACAGGCCAAAGAGTTCTTAAAAGGATCGTTGCCTAAACTCTACGATGTACGAGAAATATGGAAAGCGCCCCACGCTTTTTTCCCAATAATACTAGTATTTTCCATTTATTATTGTTTTAAGCTTATTTGAATAAAAGCTTGTTAAAAAAAATATTTTTAACTTTTAACTTTGATATGCTCTAAAAGCGTGTTTTTTAGTTTATTTAAACTATATTTATTTTTCACGTTTTAGTTCGATGTATTATAAAAGCGTGTTTTTTAGTTTTTTTAAACTATATTTATTTTTTACTTTTTAGTTCGATTAATTATTTAAAAAAAAAATTTGTAAGTTGAAATTGCTGAAAAAAAATTTTTTTTCAGTCGTGGGGATTAGAACCCACGATCGGTGAGTCTGGAAATCGAAAACCCGCGCTTTAGACCGCTCGGCCATGAACGAACATGACTTATTGGGATATACTGACAGTAATAAGCCACTTGAATCCAAAGGAGAGTTACAAACATACATGCAGGTGAAGTTAATATAAGCGTGTTAAAAACGTGCCTTTTAAAGTTACCATGGCAAATTTTTAAATATTGATCTGACAGGAGTGCCTTGTAATGTCAAATAAAATATTTCTGAGAAATTTTTCAAGAAATGTATTTATCAGCTAAGCGTAAATCGCACAATTCACATCTTCTACAAGAGCCAAAGATGCCACAAATAGCAACCACCTTCAATAATAAATACGTAATGTCCGGTGCATCTGTAAAAAAACTTCCGCAAATCGTCTTCCTCGAATACATATGCCTTCTTGACTACCTCATTTTTGCTAATTGTCTTTATAAATGTATGCACTTTGACGAAAGATTTTATATCGACCCCTTTGTTTATCCTCAACATACTTTGTAATTTTGAATGGATAGTCCACATCACAAAGCATGTATCTTCTAGAGACCCCACGCCAATGTTAAACTTTTAAACCAAATTAGCGCCACCTTGTGTTTGGAGCTGGAACTAAAATGACAATTGACAGATGGCGGTAAATTCAAATTGTAATTTTTAGGAGTAGGTAGTAGTTTTAAATTAAATTTTAAATGATTTCCACATAAATTATTTTATAAAATAAAGTATGGAACTAGTAAGTTCGAAACTTTTATTTTACAAAATAATTTAGGTCGATTATACCAAATTTGAAGAATTAATTTGTTATAAGGGGTCTATTGTGGAGAGTTTGTTCTGCATATTTTTATTAAATAAATATAAGATATATCAATAAATAATAAAATAGAACATTCCTAAAATGTGTTTATTAATAAATTAAATAAATATTATTAGATAAAAATAAATACAAATAATAATACATATTTAACGAATACTTACTTGGAGCAAATAGATATATAATCTCAAATCTTTAAAATACCTATCAATAATGTAAATGTGAAGTAGAGACTAGGATATTACATTTTATTAACACTAAAGTTATATATTTTATAAATGTCTTTTTAACTGAGGACAAATGTAATATAGGTATTGTATTAAAAGGTGAATCCTTTTAACTATTCATTCAATGATAAATAGGTATTTTCCTTCCAAATACAGATGGTGATACAGATTTCGGAATCTAGTCCAGTGATAAATTGATTATCAATTAATTGTTGTCCCCGTTTGTCTTTTTATGATGCAGATGCATGGTGAATATATGGTGAATCAATGAAGTTTTTCTCGAAGTTTTCAACGTAGCACCAAAATTATTGCAAAACACAGTAGGAAATAAAAAAGCGAAACATCACAATTTTGCAAATAACCAAGACGAAACTATAAACAGAAACCAAAAGCCAAAGCCAACAAAAAATCACTAAAATCAGACGGAAAAATGAAAATAACCAAGAACATAAATAAATACACGTCACATCTTTGGAGTCTTTGGTTAAGTTTTTCTCCCATAAGGCTTAAAAATGGAGTAAGAAATCATAATTTCACCAGTAGCCCCATCTAGAGTTTGGAGCAAATAGCATAAAAAATGTCAGTTGTCGGTTTTGACCTTGGTCATTCACGTGGAACCTCTATGTGCTTTGTGGTCCACCAATGCTGCGTTTGAGAAACCACATCGGATGCATCTGAGATGTAAAAAATCTTTGATCACGTGATTCAGTATACGTAAATGTAATGGGACAGATGTGTCCGATGTGGATAAAAAAACGCTCGAGATGTAAAAAATGCATCCGATGTGGATTCTCAAACGCAGCAATAGTCGATACCCCAGTATATATACCAATCAGTATTGGCACTCTGAGGCGGCACGTTTGATCTTTAAAAGTAGAAATTTTAGTTGACACTTGACGTTTTCGGGATATGAAAAGTTTTATTTACACGGACTTGGTATACCTGGTTAGTTGAATTTTTGTTCTGCTGCTTTTCAAATTCGTGTGTATGAGGGAGATGTGAGATACCTTTATAGACAACGGTTGAAGAACTTAATTACTTTGAAGAAGAAAATAGATTAGATATCAGGGCAGTCTTCGCAAATGTAAGAAGGACAGAACCGTTTTAAATTTTTTTATATACGTGAAATATTACTTTTTGGTGAAAAGTTTAATTACTTTTAGTTCAAAATATAACGTTAGTTTGTCAAGGGAAATATATAACACACAAGGTTAGAGTAACAAAATAGAGGTATTGCTTTATTTCTTAAGAATGACTCTAATCTAAAACTTTTCTAGTATATTGTAAACATTTATTCTATACGTTATTTAGGTACTGCAAAATCTATAGGAAAGTATGTAGTTTTAAATTTAAAAATTTGTAAGGGAGACATATTTAGTGTAGTGTTTTTACAAATATATACTCAGTGACTTGCTTTTGTGAATGAGTTCAAGTATGGCAGACTAAAATCGTTATATTTTATTATGAATTAATTTGAATTTATTTTAAAATGGGAACTATATGTATATGGTTTTCGTAGATTTTACACTTGTGATAAGAATATCAAAGTTATGTATATTGGCCATAAACTACACACAGCAAATTCATAGACACAATACATATTACTATTTGACATTCTTGTAAAACCACTAATTTAAAATTGACTTTAAACTAAGTTACTACACACAGAATTGTTTGAAAGCAGCCATAAAGGTATAATTTATTTATTGGATACTATAAAAAAATTAATAGTAGTTACATGTAGAGTTAAGTAACAAGAAATTTAAGACCAAAAACAAAACAAACCTTTATAACTAGTGAACTTAATTTGGTACAGTCCTCAACTTTCTTAGGCTAACATTAAAGATATCTATTTGGATCTCGCTAAGAAACTCATTGGTAACAGCCATCATCTTGTTAAAAGGAGATATACTACTTGGATCTAAATCAAATAATTTTTTGTTACTTGGGTTTCTTAGAGTAATCTTTCCCGCATTAACATTTATATAGTCAATCAATTCACAATCTTTGTACTTAAAATAGAGTACAAAATATATCACAGCCTGTTGCTTTCTTCTTTGTAAAAGAGATTTAATCTTAAAACTATTGAGCATAGTTTTATACGAGATCTTAGGTATAAGGGTACAAGTATTTTTATGACATAAAGGTACCGTAAAAATATTTTTTGTACTTTTTCAATATGATCAATTTGTGTGGCTTCCAAGTGCATCCATATTTGTGAAACATACTCAAGATGGAGTCTTACTAAGGCATTATATAATCTGATTTTGGTGATAATCCATATTTTTTTTGTATTTCTGATTTAAAGACCTAATGCTTTTATTACTTTTTTAGTTATGTGTAAAAATTGGTTATTGAACTTCAAATTAGACTGAAAGACAACTCCCAAATCCTTTACCTTATATTCACGATTTAATGTGACATCACAGGTCTTATTTCTAATGTAAAACATTAAGAGGCTATGGATCCTTACAACTTAAAATATGCATACGTTTGTAAGTGTTAAATAGATGGATAAAAAGTGTTGATTTTTATTTACAACTATATTAAGAACCATTAAAAAGATTAAGAGCAATAAAACATTTCAACAAATTTCTATAGGTACACATATTTTTGATACCTGATAATCAATAAATAATATATTTTTTGGAGTAGCAACAGGTTTATTAATACACAACTATTATTTTGTTACAAATACTTATAATATTTAAAATTAACATAATAGTTGATATAAGTCCTTTAAAAATAATATATTTTGATTTAATTGTTGAATTTATACATGAGCAATTTTCCTTATAGCGTTGTTTACATTTTGCAGAGAAATATTGTATTCTGCTTTTAGCTGATAAACCATGTACATGTAAATGGGTTGAATTTAGACAATGTTAATGTTTTTGCTACTACTGCTGGCTAGGAATGCTGGGCTGGGACACCAACAAAACAAAAAAGGAAGCACAAAGCACTAGATGTTTTTATCACTTATACACGTACAATTTACAACCATTCAAGTAACTAGCATGTTGGAAATACTTCACGAAAACATATTAAACATAAATCAGTCGAAGGCAATGTATTTTCTTTTTATAACACACCTTTTTAGCTTGATTACTTTTAGTACTCTATATTTATTCCAATGTCCTCAAATAAAACGAGCAATAATAAGGATAAAACACACACTGAAGTGTATATGGGGTACTTTTGATCTAAATCCACTATCGAAATAACAAATTTTCCATTTTTAAGCTGTAAATGTATTACAAAAATAGCAAAAACTACTTCGATAAAATGTAAACAAAAGTTTATATTTGTGT